CTAAATTGTGTGAATTGTTTTATTTTGTCTATTTAATGTTTCTTAGTTAATGCGTATTTAATATTTCTTTGTGTATAAGTGTAATTTTGAGATCGTCCTGGCCAAAGGTTAAGGCGTCCGGTGTATTCGTAACTTGCGATGCACCGGTGTTCTAATCCCGCCGGCGGGTATCAATTTTTCTAATGAAATACGTACTTATCAAATTTTTACGATTGACTTTCACTGTAAAGGAATAGCATCATGTAATAAAAATCAAAACCGCAAAATTAATTTGCGTAATTACTGGTGGTAGGACGTCTTGTGAGTCCGCACGGGTAGGTATCACCACCCTGCCTATTTTTGCCGTGAAGCAGTAATGCGTTTCGGTTTGAAGGGTGGGACAACCGTTGTAACTATACTGAGACCTTAGAACTAATATCTCAAGGTGGGAGGCGGCATTTGCGTTGTACATGTCTATGGGCTCCGGTAACCACTTAAGATTAGGTGGGCCGGGAGCTCGTCCACCCATCTATGCAATAACAAAATAACGTTGGTTTATTAACTGTTAAGTATTTGTGAAAGTGCGAAAATGTAAAAAAATTAAACAAAACCGCTGGACGTAGCTTCTCGAAGTCTTCGAAAAAGTCCACTGAAATAAATCTCAGTAAATAATCAGCATTTTACAGAGATTATATTTTATCCCATATCATCTGATTTCATTGCATTTCATTCCATGCCAATCGATTAATCAAATCCATTTCACTCTATATTATCATTTTTCATCAAAAAAGATTAGGCTCTATGGCATGATACTTTTGCCTCCGTAGTTGGAAAAATAGAACTACTAAAGAAATACTCGATCGAAACGTTAAAATCTACTAATTTGTAACACGCACTCGCACAAATGTCATTCGTGGTACTCATTTCGGTAAAATTACTCGGTTACGAGATCACAACGTTAATATGAACTCGCACTCACAAAATAACACCGGGTACGTTTGCCGCTAGGGGCGCTGTTCCAATTGCATACAAATTTGCGCAAACTGGCTCGCTATCGAGAACGTTACAAAACTCGCACTAAGCACACAGAACTGCACTAATAACTAATGTATTTTACACGAACAACGCATTATTGCAATTCAATTGTCTTATCTTGAAATTGTTATCTTAATTTTTGTGAAGTGTTTACTTTTCCCCCAAATATATGATTTATTTGGCAATAATGGTAAACAGCAAGCTACGTTATCGCGACCTGATAAGATGAATTACATTCATATCAAAAACATGTTGAATTAAAAATTAAAATATGTCAAATTCAAACCTTACATGTACCTATAACTCCTCAACACTATAACGGACTAAACTCCTATTTGGAAAAACGGTGGCTTAGCTTTATTGCTAGCTTTTTCTTTATAGCTTTATTGCCCTCTATAGACGTGTTGCCAGCCCATATGGGAACAAAATGATCTCATTGTTTTGTAGATGGACAATTTTTTTTCTTTCCGCGAATAGTCTCTGCATTATGATGTTGAGTTGATTGATATTGCGTCATTCGGGGAATGCTCTCGTTTGTCATGATTATTCGAAAATGTCATGATTAATCGAAAAAATACCTATTTAAAACATTTATCTTCTCGATTATTTGTAAACCGATACTTGGGCCTTCGATTCGGATCGATAAAAAGATCGATCTTCTGTTCGAAACAAATATTTCGACCTTTTTAATTTATTAAATATCGATTTGATAAATAATTTGAATGTGGAAAACGGTATTTAATTTTTTTTGAGCTCTGGTGAATCATTACGGGATGTCAGTCTCTTTGCTTGTTTACGTAATTAAGAACAATGTCGACAGATCATTGCGGAGGCCGCCAACGGTCCCACCACACCTGCTGCAGACAAGATCCTCATCGATCGCAACATTCTCGTGATCCCCGACCTCTACATCAACGCTGGTGGTGTCACCGTCTCATTCTTCGAGTGGCTCAAGAACCTCAATCACGTGTCTTACGGACGTCTGACATTCAAATACGAGAGGGAATCTAACTACCATCTGCTGGGTATGTCTTAAAACGAGCCTTTGTATATTTTAATAGCAAAAGGCAAACGATATATTCTATAGTGCCTAACTTGTTGGGATAATTAAAATACCTGTTGTCGTTGGGGCGATCCTTTAACCGGTAACATTCTGTGAGCTTTTGTCTATAAATAAATAATAGTTTAAAAAATACGCTATTATAGAAAATCCATCTAAAAAATAGAAAATAAATTTTAATAAATTTGAATTAAAAATAGTGTAAGAAAAAAATATTTTATTGTAAAAAAGCGTGGGGTGGTTTTCAGGATATTATCAAAATAACCCTTCTACTCATATCTGTTCATAAAATATTTATAACTACTGATACCGTCCAACTCACGCTTTTTTTACAATTAAATCATTTTTTCTTACACTATTTTTAATTTAAATTTATTAAAATTTATTTTCTATTTTTTAGATGGATTTTCTACACAAGCGAATTTTGTTAGTTTTTTTAAACTATTATTTATTTTTCATTTTTTAGTTAAATTTCATTTTTTTTTTTTTTTTATTATTTTGAATAGTCATCGGTCCTTAATAAGTATACCGTATTTTGAGTTAATCCAACGTTTTGTAGGGATTCAAAATCATGTTCAAAGATTTCGTTACATACTAACATACATAAGTCTGAAGCTAATAAAAGCGTATTAAAAAAAATGCAATGTTTTGTGAAACAGAATCGGTCCAAGAGTCCCTAGAGCGGCGATTCGGTCGCGTCGGAGGCCGCATCCCCGTCACTCCCTCAGAGTCCTTCCAGAAGAGAATCTCCGGCGCCTCCGAGAAGGACATCGTGCACTCCGGACTCGACTACACCATGGAGAGATCCGCTAGGGTAAACCTCAAAACATATTTTCCTTGCGACAGAATGTAGGGGAAACAATGATGATGATAGGATTACGTTAAAATAATCTAGTTATACTTACTAATAATTTCCATCGCAATGTAACACAGTAACCCAGTCGTCGTGGCCTAAAGGATAAGACGTCCGGTGCATTCGTGTTGAGCGATGCGCCGGTGTTCGAATCCCGCAGGCGGGTACAAATTTTTCTAATGAAATACGTACTCAACAAATGTTCACGATTGACTTCCACGGTGAAGGAATAACATCGTGTAACAAAAATTAAACCTGCAAAATTATAATATAATTTGCGTAATTACTGGTGGTAGGACCTCTTGTGAGTCCGCACGGGTAGGTACCACCGCCCTGCCTATTTCTGCCGTGAAGCAGTAATGCGTTTCGGTTTGAAGGGTGGGGCAGCCATTGTAACTATACTTGAGACCTTAGAACTTATATCTCAAGGTGGGTGGCACATTAACGTTGTAGATGTCTATGGGCTCCAATAACCACTTAACACTGTGTGTGCTGTGAGCTCATCCATCCATCTAAGCAATAAAAAAAAGTTAACGCAATGTAACACAAAGTTAAAAATTAGCTGGTGAGCAAGGTCATCAGTCACACATGGCGCTACTATTAATTTTATTAGTCTTGCCTATTTCTTCTGTGAAAAACTTCTTCGTTCTAATGTGAAAGATAGAAACTTAAATTATTACACTACTTACACTTGCAAGTGCAAAGAAACCGCTGTTATGCATGGATGAACCATGATTTTTGTTACACAATGTGAACTAACTATGCATAATTAATAACACTATGTCTATGAATGCCATAAAATAGTATTTTTTTTTATATAATCTGTGTTTTTATTCGGTATTGCAAATTATCTTTTTTTTTGCAGGCCATCATGAAGACAGCCATGAGGTTCAACCTCGGCTTAGATCTGAGGACAGCCGCGTATGCGAACTCCATCGAAAAGATATTCACCACGTATGCCGATGCCGGTCTAGCTTTCTAATAATTCACTTACTGAATACCAATTTTAAAGTATTGTCTGTATAGTATTTTCTGAGGAATTCGAAAGTCGACTGGACGTTCAATCCAATATTTATTTCCTTCATTTTACAGTACAGTGAGATCACGACACGAGATTAAACCATTAGGGTTATTTTATTCGTATTGTCTGCATTTTATACACTTCGATTTAATCCCTGTGCACGTAAACTTTACTTATAAGAGACATTGTAATCACAGTATTTTTTTGTTTGTTGAAATCATGGCTTTTTATTTGAATTTAAGCGAAACATTGTTAAATATTTATGTGAAAATATAATTTTCCTTGTATCAATCATCTTCTTTTTAATAAATCGATTAATGTTATTCCTAAACTTTTGTTTTATTTTTTATTGCCAAATGGCATATTTGTACAACTTAGATTATAAAATAGTGCCCGCCTAACACCAAATTCCGTTAAAATATAAAGCAATTGCTACAAGTTACATTTAGCATTTTTATTACTGTCTACAATTTATTACTGTCATCTCTATTTCGTGTCCTATAATTATTCCGCTGTAGACCACAGTACTAAATTTATTATCTCTACACGTTCCTGAGAGAAACGTTGAAAGAGAACCGGATTGCTTGGACAGCAATTACAGACACAAAACAGTTATCATTTTTCCATCGGGAAGAAATGGTCGGACTTTCACGTAAATGTGTTGAGCGCGAGATAAATAAGCGAGGCGACGACGTTGAACCGACTTGTTCAACGACCCATGTCTGAGCCATAGAGTAAGATTATATATAACGTACGTGAGCCTTGAATGAATTTAACCGAGGCAGGCGAGCGGCAAAAGACGCATTTCGCGTGGAACTGTATGTACACTGTGTACGGCTTCGGCCGCCTTAATTCATGGACACTAAACCGGCGGTCGTCGGCGCAATGACCACCGGGCGGCAGCGGACTATTAAAAACCCAAATCTCACCTAGACACTGTGGTTAAATCGACTTCGTCGCTATAGTCTCTATTTTGTGCAATGAGCACACGACATCATTCCTCCTGTGCAGCAGGCCGTGAGCGTCTGCTAGTCGCTTTCGCTGCGGTGCCATTCTGCCGCCGGCTCAGCTTCGATCCGATACAGATACTTCTCGAAACCATTGTAGTCTGTTAGCACTATCCGGAGGATGAGGCATCCTTGGTCATAATGCGAGACAAGCAGACTAGTAGAAATTATCGTGATATGTGTGTTAATTGTGCTCAGCCCAAACCATCAGCTGAGTTATAGACTGCCTTTTTAGGCATACAGCCGTCCACGTTCAGAATTGTCGTGTTACAATAAATTGTGATTTCGAATTTTAATTTATCGGCTTTAAGAAATGTGTACCTATGTTTTTCTCAGATGAACATTGGCAGAAGTGCACACAGTTAGGGCCGTGTAACCTTTTTGGTTGTAATTCTGAACGCAGCCAATTACGTGGTTTTATAACAAATTTGTGGCAAATTGTCATTTGTCAATCGATGCAGTAGCGAATCCTAAAATATTTTTGTACTTTTAAAGGTTTTTAATTAATGATAAAATGTTTACGGCTCCGCTTTTATTTACAATATTAATTACAATAATTAATGGTGTGCTTTCGAAAAGCGTCGAATTAACGTTTGAACTTCCTGATAGTGCCGAAGAATGTTTTTATCAAACTATGGACAAGGATACGGCTGCTTCATTAGAGTACCAAGTTAGTACTAATTACAATACTGTAACAAACGTGTTTATATAAATTCTAAACAAGTTATAGACAAACTCAAAAATCATCTTACTCTGTTGTTCCATTCTAACCTATAAAACTTTATCAACAATAATATATTCTTGTACCATTGATCCTCAGGTAATTTCTGGAGGACAGTATGACGTAAGCGTAAAAATAGAAGCTCCTAACAGACAAATTATATATCAGCAAGAGAAGATGCAATATGATTCACACCAATTCACCGCTCTGGCGTCTGGTATGCTATAAGAAAAACTGCTAATGGTAACAACTAAGCATCCAATCATCCAGCATTACATGACGATCACGACCAGTCTGTCAAGAGTGACGCGATTGAGAAGAAGAAGAAAGCATCCTATATACCACATACAACAATACAAAGCTCTGAATGACTGATAGATAACTTCATTATTGTAATACTAATTAAGCATTCTTTTTCTTCTAAAGATAACTAATGCCTTATATTGAGTACCTATATTGATAGTGGTCTTTGAAATATTGAAATAAGTAACTGTAAGAATCATTGTTCAACAGAGTTAAATTTCAGTCAGCACTTATTATTAAACAATAACTCAGAGCAGATATAATGAAGATTATAATAATATCTTGATAATTGATCTATTTTATCTATTTAAATATTTTAAGCAAGTGATAATTTAAAACTTTTTTTTTTCAGGTGATTACAAAGTGTGTTTTAGTAATGAGTTTAGTACATTTTCACATAAACTTGTGTATATGGAACTAAATGTTGGACCGGAGCAGCCTCTTCCTGGTGTAGGAGATCATGCAACTGTTCTTACACAGGTAAATACTTACAATTTATATCAGGTCCAAGCAAGGCAGCTTGACCCCAAGCCCTCTACACCAAAAAAATTCAGAGTGACCCACACCCATGCAAATAAGTTATAAAATGCAATAAAAGAGCTGACCTTACAGTTTCCAAATACTTTTGGATCAACATGCCTGTGAAATGGCTTTTCAAATCTAAATTATGTAATAAATAAATTATTATGGTTCATTTATGAACTAGTAATTATAATTTATTAGTAATTGAACATATTTATGACATTCATGACATCAATCTCAAACTCATAATACCAATTAACATTTGATTTAATCCCTAACATAAAAAAATTAACATAGAAAACAATGATCGAAATCAAATGGATTGTATCAATTATCTAAGACTATTTAGATTTTGATGTTACCTACCTTTTTTTGGGATTAGCATTTCATGATGCTTTTTTATTATAATTAAATATATATTTTTTGTATTTTTATTGCACAAGTATGTAGTTTAATAATGTTTTTGTTGAGCTTGAATTTTTTTATACTGATTATAATATTTTTTTTCAATTTTAGTTGGAGACATCTGCCGAAGAAATTCATTCTGCACTCAACAGAATCATAGATCATCAAACTCATCATAGATTAAGAGAGGCTCAAGGACGTAAAAGAGCTGAAGATCTGAATGAAAAAGTATTTTGGTGGTCTATGGGTGAAACCTTGGCTATTGTTTGTGTTGCATTTACACAAGTTATGATACTAAAGAATTTCTTTAGTGACAAGCCTACTCTATACAACCGATTGTAAATAATGTAATTAAATAGTTAATTTATTAAAATTCTTCTGTTTATTTGAATTTGATTTATTAAATAGTTTAATGAAATACTTTCTTATTAATTGTGTAGCCATTGTCTCTATCACACAATCTTTTATTGTTACACAAATAAATGTAACATGCAAAACTTAAAAAAAACTTATTGCTACTTATAGCACTCACATCACTAAGATTTATATTTGTATTTGAAGAAATTGATTACTCACTACATCAGGATATAAGTTAGATAGTAAATTGTCAAACAAAATTACATGTAAAATTTTTCACATACAAACATTTATTAAATATATTTCTGTACAATAAATTTTAAATGTTAACTAGAATGCAATTTTTTTTATATTTAAAACAAAACTAGTAATGCAAAGACCCCATTAATCAGCGCACAAGGGTATGCAATTAATGGTCTTTGCTCTGCATCGCCGGACATAGTGACAAATAGTCGACTTGCAGACAAAGCAGACCAAATTACTGCAACAGCTGATATACTGAGGCCTACAGTACCTTCTAAAGAGATAAATATTCCTAAACCTGCTAAGACGACCATAGGAAGCATACAATAACCCAGTACACTGGCAACACTAAGAATAGTAAAAACACCTTCTGTATGACTCATTAGTGAAAGTAAAAAATACATCAATATAACAGACATCATTGACAGTCCATACACAAACCCAAAATGGGCTTTATTGCCCGATAGAAAAAGGCAAACAGCCAAGGCTAGGCAGAATGCTATGGGACCAGCAATGTCAGTATCCCTAAGTAAAAAATTTGCATCATCGGCTTTGGATTGTCCATGGAAAGGATTGAGAACCGCTAATGTTTTCTCCAGAATTCTATCAGGGTATATTTCAAGTTCGTCCAAGAGGGGTGGCTCATCAAACTCATTTGGCTCACTTGTAGCTTCTCCAGGTATGGGAGCAGGTGTAAAGAAATTTGGATTGTAGTATTGGTTGTTGTTTGCTGGAATTGTGCCTTGCGTCTGATCAAAGGAATAGTTCTGTTGATCCGTGGGAAAAGTTTGAAAATCTGTAAAAACAATAATTAAAAAAAATCCTGTCCACTGTCATCTACATAGTAGAAGTAAGTTAGGACGACAAAATAACAAAAAGAAGGAAACCTTCGAGATGAGTTATATCCAAATTTAAAACTACTTGATTTATATGCAACTTGGGGAATGTATTATTTTTAACTATTTTTTAAATTATACAGACACTAATTTCTAAAATAAAAAATTTATATTGTCTTCTTGAATGTTATCCAATGTATTATATTTACTTACCTAAAGTCTGGGCAGTTGTTCCAAAAGTATTTGATGAATCAAAAGAATAACTCTGACTGTCGCTTTGCGTTTGCCATGCATATTCATTGGGATTGTTATAGTTAGCCATGAGGAAGCGGTGAAATAGTCTTGTCTTGGTTAATTTTGTTTGTGTGTAATTCTATTGAATATTTATTTAAAATATTTCAAAAATAAGTTTCAACCACAACTTCACCAACACGGCATTGATAAGTCAAAAATGCCAGATGTCAACGTCAATTCCTTTTTATAGAATTTCATGGCCTGGTAATAAAACCTTTAAGCCAGACGTCAATTCCAAAAAAACTAACCAGCAGCTTCTCTGAGCTTATGTCTGTGGAGGAACGTTAAGATTAATTGTTTTACGTCTTGATTTTGTCTCGTTTCATCTCGTACATTTAATTTCATCTCAATTGATTTGACAGTTTTCTAATAAATCAACCTCATCTCATTTCGCTTCTTATAAATTTCATATAACAGAATACGTACCTATGCATTGCATCGCAAGAAGCCAATCGCTATACTTAAGCTATGAGAAGCTATGCTAAGAGAATAGACAATAAATTCAACCATTGAGTGTTTTGATATCTTACCCAAGGCAACCATGGACCCAGCTAACTCCTCACCTATGGCTTACTAATAGAAACGAATCACACATAGTTTATCGTAGAGGTATTTTAAATTGCAACCGGAACGCCGTGAACAGTGATTTAGCAAGTAGCACATCGAAGTGAAACCTGCGAAAAGCACAGCTGTGCTACACGGTGGAATACGACGTGAAACTCCGCCCATTTTAAACACAGAAACATCACATTGGTCAGTCTAAGCTGCAAGCTGTCCAAGGTCAGGTATCTGAGTGATCTTAGATAACGTGACCTTCCATACTCACTTATTATTTATTCACGGTCGCGCCGCTTTACCCTTGGTAGACTCTCGTACCCATCCGAGCTTATGCCACCAGCATTTAGGTAGGCAGCAAAGGGGTAATTATATTTTAAAACTGCTCCTCCGTAATAAGAAGATACTACAAAACTTCCACTCTCATATTCGAAACGAGCGTGCGTTAAAAGTACGAACCGAAATAGAACCCTATTTCGGTTCCCTTTCGAAATCAAAATCTGTCTCGTAAGTTTGTTTCGAGCACAAAAAATCAATGCAGGAGAAACCCTTTGGGACGTTGAACAAAAATATTTAAACAAAGAACTTGTTCATTAGATTTTAAGAAATAAATTTGAGACAGTACCAGGTATTGAAAAAATTTGGGTAATTATAATGAAACAATTTTAAGTGTATATAGTTCAAACATTTTAAGGTGTGTACTTTATTTTATGAAATACGGAATCATATGTCGGCATAGGAATGTATGGTTACAGAGAGTACTAGTTAATTTCATAATTGTTTTAAGAAACATTGTTAACACTTAAAGCTTTTACGGATAATGTTAAACAATTTATATAAAAGTTAATTACATGTTAATATTAAAATGGTGTTCATTAATATCACTTTAAGATACATAGTAATAATGGTAATAAAATGTTACTATTGTGTATTGAAACTAATGTTTAGGGTAGTGGTAGTGTATTCAGGTAGTTATGAACCTAAAGTTCATGTTAATAGCAAAACAATTATAGTACCTAAAATGTTCGTTGAAATAACAAACAATGCAATAATCAAAAAAATAATTACATAAATGAACATATCTTGTATGTTTGAACATATTCAATATTTATGAACATTTAAAGATGTGATGTTTTTTTAATCAAAACATGCACCCTATTTAACAAAAACAATAACAGAAATAAGTCAAAAAAACAGTCTTCACTTCAATTTCACTGTTTACAGTTTACAAGAGAGATAATATTGTTTGGTGTTTACAATAAATTTCAACACATTGTACTATTATTTTTGTATTAGAATTATGACTGTTCCTTAGCGGGTTCATTGTCTTATAAATCATGAAGAAGAGATCAGACTATAACGAGACAAGAGTTTCGATGTTAATTTACTTGACTTGTCTTTGCGCGTCATTCTTTCTATAATAAAATAATTAAAATAAAATCATAAATTACTTAAAACTATGCACAATCTACATTTTGTACACATTATAATAGGCATAAACATTATGCTGTATAATACAACGGCAAGTGTAAAACAATCTTACAAATTGAACACACTTATAATTTAACTGGAGATTACAAAACACAAATACTCAATGCCTACAAATATGGATATAAAATTTTCATTAAAAAATAACGTAAAATATTTCGTAATATTCTTATATCACAGATACCTAGGGAAGATATTATGGGTCATATCTCTCGTTGAGGTATTATACACCTAGACATTTTCTAAGCTCCTAAATAAATAAATATCAAGCACACAATCTCGAATACAAGAATACTGTTTACAGAACATTTATATTCATAATAATTTATACTAGCTCTCCATTCGTACTGGAATACTCTTGACGACTTGTTTAAACCTGAAAGTAATCACTAACAGTGGCGTCGGTACCGTTAATACTGTTTTTTGGACCCCTGTTGGTCGGCACGTTTATCCTTTCGTATCCAGCGGAAGAATCCGATCTCTCAACGTTGTTAGGAGGGTCCGTTGCCTCATTATCAACTTTTTCATATGGTGGATCTTTTTTGGGTAGTTCGAAATATTTGACACTTTCGTAATTTGGATCTTTTTTGGATCGGACCGAGTCATATTTCGAATCTCTCGATCTAACAGATTCGTATTTAGGATCCTTACATCTCAAAGATTCGTAATTCGAATCCTGAGTTTCGTAATTCGAATCCTTCGGTCGAACGGACTCATAATTAGGATCAGATTCACTGCCCGTGTTGTAAATAGATTCGTGAGGCATCGATTCGTAATTGGGTTCTGCGTTCGGTTCTTCGTTAGTGGCCGGCCAGTTGCTGTATTTCCCGGGTTTCTTATTTACAGTGGAGTACGTCGGTTGCTTTTTGAAGTTAGGCGTGATCGTGGCGTACGGTGGAGTGGGGGGTTGATTTCTCAAAACTTCATAATTAGGATCAGAGTCCGACGCGTTGGCATCAGCCTTTGAGATATGTTCGTAGCCGATGTCACTGCTCACGATGCTGTCCGGTCCGCTGTCAGGCACCAAATGATTCAGTTTCAATAAATTATGACTCGGTCCAGCCTTTTCCTTTAACTTTAAATCCTTTACGGTTTCGTAGCCGGGGTCTTGATTGTGTGAACTGTTTCGGTCCTTGTGCGCTATGGTCTCGTAGCCGTGGCTCTGATGGTGGACCGACTTCTGGCGGTCGATGGTTTCGTACCCGGGATCATCTCCGCGGAACTTAGACGGGTGCGGTTCACCTTCGACGTTCTGGAACTCTTTGGATCGTCTCGCTTCTTCCCTCGCTTTGGCTCTCTTCATGACTTTCGCGTACATTTCCTCGACATTACGCGAGGGACTCTCCGTGACCCGTTCCGAGTTCAGGCTGGTATTAGCTTCGGCTGACGAATAGTCGCTGCAGGCGGGCGCGTCGATAGAGTTGTACAAGTTGTCGGGATTGTTTTCTTGTTTGTCGATGTCGAAGTTGAGTTCCCTGGCCACCAGCGGTCGGACGAGATCGCCGGAACTAAACCGGTGCTTGTCAACTGGGTAGTTGCATCCGTAGAAATCAGACGAGCTGACGCAGCTGTTGTTCCGTTGGTGCTTCTCGTTTAAGCTGCGGCGAAGTTTGTCGTGGTTGAAGTGGAGATCGCCTGCAAAGATATAATAAGGATTATGTAGGCCGAGTCTGCATATTAATGCGTATAATTATTAAATTATGACTGTAACCCGTACATAAACGGAAGCAATCGTATCCACCGGTTTGAAGCACACCAGTTTTTAAACGTCATAACGAAAATATTTTTTATTATATTTTTTTATTGCATAGATGGATTATCGAACTCACAGCCCATCTGTTAATTGGTTACGGGAGATAGCATCTACAACGTAAATGCCGCCACCCACCTTGAGATATGAGTTCTAAGGTCCCAGTATAGTTACAACGGCTGCCCCACCCTTCAAACTGGAACGCCTTACTGCTTCACGACATAAATAAGTAGGGTGGTGGTGCGGACCCGTGCGGACTCACAAGGGGTCTTACCGCCAGTAAAAATATTTAATAAAATCTTAAATCTAATCAGCGTTTTTAGATGATGCCAAAATTTACATTTTAAATATGGGTATGTTACGTAAGTTTGGCGGATTCAACAAGAAATTTGTCTTTTCAGTTTTCTTCTTCGTTCTTTTCTCTCTCTATCTCATCATCATCATCAGCCTGCGGCAGTCCACTGCTGGACATAGGCCTCCCCCAAAGCTCGCCACTGAACCCGATCTTCGGTTCTACGCATCCAGTTACTGCCAGCTGTTCTGCGCAGGTCGTCGCTCCATCTAGCAGGAGGGCGTCCCACACTACGTTTGCCGGTTCGCGGTCTCCACTCCAGAACACGTCTACCCCAACGGTTATCGGTTCTGCGACATATGTGACCAGCCCACTGCCACTTCAGCTTACTAACTCTGCAAGCTATATCGATCACTTTGGTTTTTGCCCGAATTACCTCAATGCGTATTCGGTCTCGCAATGACAAACCGAGCATAGCTCGCTCCATAGCTCGCTGAGTAACTTTTAATTGGTGGACTAGTCGCACAGTCAGTGTCCACGTTTCGGCTCCGTAGGTTAGCATCTCTCTATCTATTAATCAATTAAGCAGCCTAGATGGTTTGATTCAGCCGTTTGTTTTTTCCGTGTATTAATTTTATTCAAGCCTCTAGAATATCGAGAACAGATTACCGGTGCTGGATATCCTGTGGTGTCGCTGTGGCTGGACGGCGGGGGGGTGCGGCGGGGGCGGGAGCGGGGAGTTGGCCTGTCGCTTCTCCGGCTTCGGGGAGCCGAGCGCGCCCGTTGAGTTCGAGCACGACGACGACGAAGCTGAGGAATCATAAACTAATTTAACTTCAGCTCTCGTTATTTAACTTATTAATACGCTTTTATTAGCTTCAGACCTATGTATGTTAGTATGTAACGGAATCTTTGAACATGATTTTTGACCCCCTTCAAAACGTCGGATTAACTCTAAATTTGGTATACTTATTAAGAACCGATGACAATTCAGTATTTTAAAAAAAATGAAAAATTGAAATTCAATAAAAAAATGAAAAATAAATTTTAACAAATTTGCATTACAAATAGTGAGTGTAAGAAAAAATGATTTTATTGTAAAAAAGCGTGCGGTGCTTTTTAGGATATTATCAAAATAACCCTTTTACTCATATCTGTTCATAAAATATTTATAACTACTGATACCATGCACCCCACGCTTTTAATACAATAAAAAAAAAATTCTTACACTATTTTTAATTCAAATTTATGAAATTTTATTTTCTATTTTTTAGTTGGATTTTCTATAAAAGCGTATTTTGTTTAGTTTTTTTAAACTTTTTTTTATACCTACACCATAACTGAGCGGATACAACACTCCTCGTATAGGACGGTCTCTTGTATCTTTAGACAGTAAAACGTGAATTCATACGGCAGAATTAAATGAAGAAGACGACCGATTAATTTTAGATAGGCGGTTGAACTTCTGACATTGACACTGTCAATCAGTAACTGCGGCGTCTTTCCAATCGAAAGTTCGCATCAATCTGCGTATCGAGGCAATTTAAATAATAGTAGTAGTAGTAGTAGGATACCACGTACCGGAGAAGTTTATGCCGTGGCCAGTCCTTACTCGGGGTGACCAGCGTCGCAAAAATATTAATAGTTCGGGAAACGCCGTGATCGCGTTTGATGTGACTCCATATTTGTATTAAAAATATAAATTGCTTGAGTTGTCGAGCGCCACCTATCGTACGTTGATAGCACTATGACCGAAACGCTTCCTGGGGGCCTACAATAACCGTAGTCCGTAGCGAGTTCTATTATAATATAATGAGCTAAATGGTTATCTTACATAATGTAAGGATTAAAAAAATACAGTAATCCCCCCTATAACGTGGTATATTGGTTCCGCGTTATAGTAAATCTGGTTATAGGGGTATTCCAGTATAACGCATTACATATAAATGATTTATCACGTTTAACTTTTAATGGTTTTTATTTTTATTTTAAATAAAATTTAGCCTGCATCTTTTAATATCCAAAAAATAATTTAATTTTGTAATAACACAATTGACACACGTGCAAAGCTACGCGAAGCTAATTATGAACTGTAAAAATCATTATAAATTTACCGTAATGCCCGTATAACACTATACGGGGGATTGAAATCGCGTAATATGAAAACGCGTTATAAGAGTACCACGTTACAGGGGGGATTACTGTATTCGCTTAGATTTTATACTGTTTACCTCATAACATTTTGTGTCTGTAAACTACGAAGAAAACAATAGACATACAGACAGAGATCAAACGGATATGCTAGTTGGAAAACAATACAAGAAATAGTAGGTCTATTGTATTTATTATTAGTATGGTGATATTGAGTATTTACCTTGTCTGGAATGTGTAGCGTTTGATGGCGTCGCTCCGATTTCCGGTGGTGCGCTTCGCCTGAAATGTATTAATTAAATTTGTTATGAAGTGAAAAAAATAACAAGGTTGAGTTAACGCGTTCCGATTTTTTGTCTATCTACAAGAGATCCGACAAAAATCCCGATACCGCGCTACAAGTGATGATAAAATTTTAAGGTTTGAAATTGCATTGCTTAATTAATGACATATTTGTGAAACTATCTCTATTCACACTATTTCCACCAAAAAAACACTGCTCCCATTTTGGTTTCGATTTTTTGTTCGTAATTTGAATGATCACATCTAAGTGCGGAGTGTGGGAGTTGAACCCACTAAAGCGAGTTTATATTTTCAACCAAGCGACTCTCATGTCCAGACTATGCCTAACTAGGGACGCCGATGTGGCGTACGCGTGTGTGTGAGTCCGTGCGCGTGCGTGGGAGTGCGTGCGCGTGTGTGAGTTCGTGCGCGTGCGCGGGAGTGCGTGCGCGTGTGTGTGAGTGCGAGCACGCGGATGTGAGTGCATGCGCGTGTGTGTGAGTGAGTGCGGGCGCGTGTCTGAGAGTGCGTGCACGTGGGTGTGAGTGCGTACGCGTGTGTGAGTGCGTGCGAGTGTGTGTGAGTGCATGTGCGTGTTTGTGAGTACGGGCGCGTGTCTGAGAGTGCGTACGCGTGGCTGAGAGTGCGTGCGCGTGGCTGTGAGTGCGTGAGCGTGGCTGTGAGTGCGTGCGCGTGGGTTTGAGTTCGTGCGCGTGGGTTTGAGTTCGTGCGCGTGGGTTTGAGTTCGTGCGCGTGTGCATGTCGTGCGTGCGTACGACCTGGTGTGCGCGGCGTCGAGCGCAGCGAGTCCCCGGCGGCGCGGCTCGGGCGCGATCTGCGCGTACGTGTCCGAACCTTCACCGACGCTCGCCTCCTCGATGGCAGCGTACGTCTCGTCTGCACAGACAATAAATACACCTTCAGACATTGCCTTGACCAATTCCAAGAAGCGTTGAGGTCTAGCAAGTTGCCGGCAATACAAGTCTAAGTCAAATGAAATTACATAACTAAATACATGTTGCGCAGACCTTACCTAATAAAATAAAAGCAAAGAAAAAATTAGGAAATACTAAACTACTACCTACGTATTGTAATGACTTTTCTTGGTTTCGTTGATGAGTAGACTAGCTCACAACCCGACTAGTAGTAAGTAGATCTAGATACTGGTAGTAATTAGGTAGAAACTCGTGAATGAAACGTGAAGTCGAAACTTGAAACCGGAAGATATGTTTACTTAGTGGCAAAAATAGACAGGACTCAGTGGTACCTACCCGTGCGGGTTCACAATAAGAGCGGCGAATAAAATAAAAACGTCTTTTGCTATTAGAAAAAATGTGACTCATCGGAAATATTTTAATTAATATTATTATTATCTTCGGTTTACGTGTATCGACTTTAATTGTCATTATACTACAGACGACTGATACATGTTCGTGGCCACGAAAACCTTAAAGAGCTACGAAAGGTCAAAACCAATAGTAACCAAGAGTAACAAACCCGAGATTAAGCCGTAAACGTAGCTTTAATTAATTATTTAATTACTATCAGACCCACCTGAATCATCGGAAACTGTGGCGTAGTGCGGCTGTGTTGGCGGCTTGTTCGTGCTCTGAGCTCTGATATTGCTTAATGGTTCACGTACTGATATGCTTGTATATCCCTCTGTAAAACAAAAACGAAAAACAAACTGTAAATGTTACGCGTCGCAATCGTGGTCCACATGCGTGCCATGGATGCCACACAAACAAAAATTTAATCAATTTCTCTTATTTAGGTACAGTCATTCTAGTTATTGGATACTAAGTATGATTACTACTGCGATTTTAGGCAGCGGCTTATCTATGCCCGTTGCATTGGCGATGTCCACGGGCGACGGCGACTACTTACCATGAGCCGTATGCTCGTATGCCTAAAATAGCAATAGAAAAATAATAGATTAACATTCATAACTTTTAGTTCACTCTACATATATTTTTACACTAAAAGTTTTTTTTACAAAAATCTACGAATCGAAATAAATCAATAAGTGAGATCGAAAGATTAAGTAAGATATGTGTACAATAAACACGCCGGTCACATATTATATAGATTTTTATCTGAAATGCAATTTTCTGATTTCTGAGAATTACAATTGATTTCATTTATAATTCTGTATATTTATACGTATATACATAGATGCGTATACATGCATAGCGTTAAACATGCCGCCTACATTATCGTTTAGAATCGAATCGATCTTATCATTAGAGGACGTTTATTATACTTTTGCATCTTATCTGTACATATATACACAAAAAATTAATAAAAGACTTTTTGTCTGTAGTTCTGTGAACACTTATTCTCATAATTTTTCGGTCAATTAGAATGTCGTTTGCATTAAAAATTTGGGTTGTTAATCAGACAATATATTACGGTAGTTTCATTACAATCTGATTACAATTAATAACAATATTAAAAATAATTTCTAAAGTGATGATGCTACACAGTTCCTCCGCGTAGTGTACTACATCACTGTAATCAATGTTCCAAAATCTAATCTTGAAGTAAGTAAAGTAGCCTCATATATTTAAAAAAATTAGCAATCAATGATGCTTTTACATTGTCTTTGATTTTACCGCTTATAAGACAGTGTGCGAGAAAGAGACAGAGATTTTTTCATTACACCTGCACTTAAATCCACTTATCCACTAATGATACTTATTTATCAATAATAAATGATGTCTCGTTTGACATCAATCACAATGCGGTTGTAACTAATAACTTTATTGAACTACAAAACATAAAATCATAAAGTGACAGGTCAAACAATTCTATCTCTCATCAACCGAATGATCATTGTTCTATACTCTTCGTATATACTGGTGTTACTTATAATATTTTGTATTCAAGTTTAACAATATTTGCTATGTGTATGTGCATTACCATAATTCTCATGTTGTATTTGTTATTTTAGCTGTTCTACACACATTGATCACTTTTAATTATTATTCTCATAATCCTCTCGCAGGTCTGCTGGAAGAGATTTCTTAAAGAAATAAGTAGTGCCTTTGTACATAATTTTCCTATTACTCTGTACTATGTCTTCTTAATGGTGTGTACATAAATAAATAAATAAAGCGTCTATTAAAAGGTACAAATTCAATCAAATGAAACGACACTATTGCTTTCTCTTTCTTTCTTAGTGGTATTTCGTGATTGCTTGTTAAGTACTTACTTGCGGAATCTGTTGAATCGCCGCTGAAGTGTGTCGCCGTTTCCGCGCTGGGTCGTGGCGACGGCGGGGTTATATAGGGCAGTTCCTGACTAGACGGCAGCTGTCCGCTAATAGCTACCGAGGCCGATATCACAACGGATTCTGCAAACGTAACAAAACTTCAAATTGATAACGTTGTAGTAGTTTATAAAGTTTATATATAGACGGATAAAACGCTATTTGGCTTAAGCGATATTTCGGTTAATACGCAACATTTATCTTTGCAGTTAAAGCTGCGTTTTATTTGGTATTAGCATCAACGATTCGATGTTTTTAATTGAATTTCCAATTTTTGTTAGGATATTTTTTCCAAATTTTAAGCTATCCTATAAAGTTACATAAATGTCTCTTAAACCAAATAGTCTCTCGATATATTATATATTGCTTAGATGGGTGAACCAGTTCACGGCCCATCTGTTGTTAAGCGTTCATCGGAGCCCGTAGTCATCAATAAAGTAAATACCGCCACCTACATTGAGACATGAATTCGAAGTTTCAGTAGAACACGCATAATTATTGGCGTTGCATAATAAGCAAAACAACTGATATAATTAGAATTAATGTTAATTAACTATATTTTATACGTTATTAATTAGTATGGAAAACGAGACAAGTAGGTACTGCTACTGCGTCACTATTATTGATCTTATTAAGTCTTATACATATTAATTAATATATGCAAGATAATAATATCGTGTCCATTGGTGTATTTTGCGCATGCTAATTTTAATATGGCCAAAGCGATTTGTATTTTGGACAATTTCAGTGATTTATCGAAGTATGTAAATATTTGTAGCGTGCAACATTCGGGTGCACTCGGGCGTCATCGGTCGCGATCGGAGTTCCCGAACGCGCAGGTGTCCCGTGACGTCACATGGCGAGATTCGCGCGCGTCGATTTAAGTGGATTGTAAAACGTATTATAATTTTAGTTTTAATTGGTGTCTTCTAGTGCCCAGCGACTTGTTTACTCTATTTACTTTTTATTAGAACATTGTACACATAATATTATAACATTATATTATTGTTAAATTGGTGTGTTTGACTTTTATGTGTTCGGAGCATAATATCCCGAGAGTACAAATAACAAACTACAGTGGTGACCCCGACGCGATTCAGTGTACAAGTTATAAAATTAAATATAATAAATCGTTGTATTAACAAGAAAGACTTAGTGATGACTTCAAATAGTGACAAGATGGAAAATGCGAGCGAGGTTTGTCGTGTTGGCGTTAAAGTCCCGCCATTTTGGCCTAATGAGCCCGCGTTGTGGTTCGTACAATTGGAAGGACAGTTCGCGCTTTCAAATATCACGGTTGATGCGACAAAATTTTACCACGTCTTGGCAAATCTAGATTATAAATACGTGTGTGAAGTTAAAGACATTATAACTAATCCGCCAACGGAAAACAAATACGAGAAGATAAAAACGGAGTTGATTTCGCGGTTATCTGCGTCCCAAGAACAACGAGTGAGACAGCTTCTTACACATGAAGAACTGGGCGACAGAAAACCGTCACAATTTTTGCGACACTTACGAAATCTAGCTGGATCAGATGTACCTGACGAGTTCATTCGGTCATTGTGGACGAGTCGTTTACCTAGTCACGTACAAGCGATTATAGCAGCGCAAGTCGATCTCCCTCTAGACTC